CACCAGCACGTGGCACCGGGGGGCTGGGGGTCGGCCCGGGGGTCCCGGGGGTCCCGGGCACGGCCCGTAAGCCTCGAGATCACAAAGCAGCTCCACCAGGTCCAGGACTGAGCGTAACGGGGGGCGCCGGGCCAGCACTTCATGGCCGGGGGGCACCGGGCGACCACGGGCGACCAAAACACGGAAAGCCAAGCCCGGGTTGAGCAGAACGGCGGCCGCGGCCATGGACGAGCGGGGGCAGCGCTGGACGAGGCGCAAACCCCGAGCTGGGCACGGCCCGGGACCACCGTCAGCCCCCACAACCCCCCAGTGAGCCGGGAGGGGAATCTCGGCCAGTTCCTCCAGGAAGGAGCCGGGCCAGAGTTGGGGAGCTGGGGGCAACGGGAAGGGCTGTGGGAGAGAAGGGGTTAATGGGGTGAGGAGGGGTAATTTAAGAGACCCCCACATCCCACCAAGAATAACCTCAGTCCATTATAAACAGCCATGAGAGCCTCCCCCAAAAATATAAGGGTTCGCCACGGAGACCCTTCCCCAAATCACTGAAAAACCCCAAAAACACCCCCAAAGGCATCAGGACCCCAAAAACCCCAAAGATGCCCCTAAAAGTCATCAGGACCCCAAAAACCCCAAGGACCCCTCCCCAAAAGTCCCTTCCTTAACTGACCAGCACCCCAAAAACCCCAAAGATCTCCCCAAAAGTCACCAGGACCCCAAAAATCCCAAAGATCTCCCCAAAAGTCACCAGGACCCCAAAAATCCCAAAGATCTCCCTAAAAGTCACCAAAACCACAAAAACCCCCAAGCACCACCCACCAAAAGTCCCTTCCCCAAATTCCCCCTGGACCCCAAAAACCCCAAGGACCCCCCCCCAAATCACCAGGACCCCAAAAATCCCCCCAAAGTCACCAAGAACCCAAGGACCCCTCCCCAGAAGTCCCTTCCTTAACTCACCAGGACCCCCCAAAACTCCAAGGACTCCCCCCAAAGCCCCCTCCCCAAATCACCAGGACCCCAAAGTTCTCATTTCTCAGACCTCCCCCC